ATATATATATATATATATATATAAATATACATATTGCGGCGCGAGGCATATAGCTTCGGGCATTATATATATACATATTATACATATTGCAATATAATTAGTTGCGATAGGGCAAGAAAGTTAAAAGCAAGAAAAATTAGTAACTTGATAAGATCCAATTAAGAGCCTGCATCCCTGGAACAGTATTTGCAATTCCGAATCAGCCTGAAGATCCAGCAGTTCAGACTAATTTCATGTAACTGATACCGGAGTTGAAAATATATTACTGGCCAAAAGTATGGGACCATCTGAAATATTGCTGTTAGTCGAGAATTAAATGTTACATAATTCATTTATATCTGCATTACACGTAACCATTTAATATTCTTGACACGATAGCAATATATACTGTCATATGAAATTCATTATTGTCGCTCAATATTTCTCTTGTCACTAGGGTAATATTTTTTACACTACGAATTTCTTCCTAGCAAATTAATTTTCTTATTATCGTTCGTATCGTTTCCATGAGGCTATTTTCATTTTCCACGATTGTAAATCATGGCCCATACTTTTCGACCGACAGTGAATATTACTTGACAATGTTATTCCAGGTAAAGAAACTCGCACGAATATATTTCCAAGTTACTTTCTCGTCTTCATTAATTAGTAAACTCTAGACGGAGAGCAGATAGGATACAACAGCAGACTTTTGAGACAATTTTCTCTTAATTCAATTTGATAATGGTCTCTTTGGATAATAATAGCCTTTCGATAATTCAAAGTATATTCATTATTACTAGTCACAATGTTATTCGTAAAACTGTTTCTTTTTTTTTTATCAGGAACGTGTCTCAGATTAGTCGACCGATGTACCAGAAGTTTTCAATATTCCTTTGTACTCTATAGTGCATCATCATACTCGCTATAATTTCCTCGTTTGTAGTGTAAGAAAATCTACAGGTCCGTTTTCCGACTAAGAACTTTCTAAATGTAGATACCTTCCAATTTCACAGTTACCTTGGATCTTAGTAAGCTTAAATTACCGTCGTGTTTCGTACAGTGACTCTCAATGATCCACGTTGACATGATAGTGCCTTGTTTGGCACCGATCATTCTTCATTATATTTTATTTGTACATACTTTCTAGAGAAAAATCCTTTACTTATAAATATGTATATATATTTTCACGATTATACAAATTTATAAATTAATTCTAGTTTGAACAATTCGTTGTTACTTTTATATATAACGCCAATCAAATGTGAATTAATTTATCAGTGATCTAGTTCTTGCTTAGTGCTGCAAATAAAACGTGATGAAGAGATATTTACATAAACGAAATCCAGTAACAACAAGGATTGTTGAGAGGCATTATACATTGAGGGACAGAAGTATTTATATTTTCTAGGAACATAGTAATTTCCTCTATGAAGGGGTCACGATAATATAGAATAAAATAAAAGCTTCAGTTCTTTCTGTTCAAGTTTTCATTTTATTGTATTACGTGCAAACTTCATAAAAGTATGGTCCCTTTATTTTCTTACTCTACTACTAGAACATTTAATAACTCCAGTCATTACCAGCCTTTGTCATCATAAACAGACTTAACCCTTAGCAGTCCTATGACATTATTGCAACCTCAACCTGTTTCAACAATTTTTCTATATTTATTTATAGTACCACAATTGTACCATTCAAAGGTAACACTTCAATGACCCCAAGTATTCTTGAATAAATAAATAGAGCGTCGTATCAAGCTGTAATTGAATGAACGTCGACGTGAACCTCAAACTGAGAAATGAAGAGCACTTTGGACAGCAAAGGGTTAAGGACATAAGTTCAGCAACCATGGAATCGTTGAAACCAGGCAAACGAATGCTTTTATCCCTCATTGTATACCGATTCACAATGAAACGGAAGAAAAAGAAACAAAACAAACAAGAAAGAAAGGAATAAGAAGATGCGGGTGCCTTTGAGATCTTGTTCAAGCTAGTCGTAACAGCGGATCCGTCTTGTGTGCATGTGGGAGGTAACACAACAAAGTATCAACGGTTTTATGTTCATTTTGCTGTGTACGTACAAGGAAATGTTGGACATCGAAAACGCCTTATTACGATACATTACAATAACGAAACGCAGAAATAATTATAGGGCAAAGAATAAAAATAGAGGATAAGTTTTTTAATGTCACGCTGTGTATTTATGATAGTATCGAAAACGACCCAACGGTGAATTTGTATCCGTAAATAGTTTCCCGTGGAAACGCGCGCCGTTTCACATTTGGTGTGACCGTTCGACAGACAATTTAATTTTCGTGGCCATCGACCCGTCCTTGGATCAACTTTGTACAGAATCATTTCTCCCTCGTTTTCTACTGCCTGCAAGATCACTGAACGTTCAAGGTGTATTTATGGTCATTGTTTATCCGTTAATATTTAACTATGAAGCGTTGGACAGTTTCCTTGCTTCCACATTCGCTGCGCTAGCAGTAACGAATTTAGCTATAAAAAAGAAACAAACAAACAAAAGGAAAAAAAAGAAGAGAACTGGTCCACGAATCGTTAGGATCGTTGTGTAAAGTTAGGTTAGACGATACGCTCCGTTAATTCGTTAACGTCCCTCGTGTCATGTTCCCTTGAAAGATTGTTTGTCAGTTGATGTAATATAATTTATATTCTATTTAGGAGGAGTGAATTAAGCGTCGCTTACTAATGCATCGAGTTATCGATGCTTGGGAGGAGACACACTGGCGTATCACAACGAAGTCTAATTAAATCGTTAATTAAATCGTGCTCGTGTAAAATTCACGTGAAGAACAATAATCAAAATGAAGTTTTCTAATGATAAAGGGAAAGCTTCGTACTGCGACAAGGACATTTCGACGAAGGAAACGCAACTCGGAACTTGCGTGTTAGTAAGGATACTTAATTCAATCCGAGAATTGTATAAATAATTGTACTTTATAACAGAGGATTTGTACATTTCGTTGTATATTATTTACACTCGATAACTGTTATGTATTCATAATGATCTGTCTACTGTATCTACGACCTTATATGTATTAATTTAAACGTAATAAATATTTCCATTTCGTAAGAAACGTATTCGGAGGTCAAGGTCATTTATTTGAGTTCCTAGTAATTAGAGTTCCCTTTTTTCAGCTCAGAACTCTAAAATACTGCTATAAAAATTGCCAAGAAAAGAGATTCGGCACTCTAATTCTGGAAGGTGTTAAAAGTGTTAATTAGAGTTCCCTTTTTTCATCTCAGAACTTTAAGATACTGCTATAAGAATTGCCAAAAAAGGACATTCGGCACTCTAATTCTGGAAGGTGTTAAAAGTGTTAATTAGAGTTCTATTTATCGCCTAAAATTTCTATGGAATGGAACTCTAATTAACACTAACACGAAATGATATAGTTTGAATGTTCAATCCTGACATCTATGATCGATAAAGTTGGTGAGTCAAGTTTACCATCGATAAGGAAGACGAAAAACTTTAAAAAATAATCCGCAGAATAAACCAATTCTGTAATCTTAAAGGTGTTAATTAGAGTTCTATTTTCCTCAGAAATTTTAGACAATAAATGGAACTCTAATTAACACCTTCAAGAAGATTCCCTATCGATGGTAAAGTTGGCTTGCCAACTTTATCGATGATAGATGTCAGGATCGAAGGTTCAAACTATCCTCATCATTTCGTGTTTCTTCAAGCTTATGATCCTAGCTCGTTGTTGTAAACGAAGTAATTAAAATAAGTTGTGCTTGTATTAAAACAAACATAATGAACTCACTACGATTTACTTTTCGACGAGACCTTCATCAAATTCGTCAATTCCATAAATGGTAGGAGTTAACGCTTTCTAAATATATAGTTCGGCACAAAAGAAAAACGTGTTTATATAACCTTATTTTCTTGAAGAATGTGTGGAAAATTTGTTACCTTTTGATTACCTCTTAAATAGCAGCAATGACATTACACTTTTTCTTTATTAATCATTTTATTTTAGCCTTGTCCAACAAACAGAGGCAGCTGCAACTGTTAATGTTGCTGATTCATCAGTTTCTCCTTCAGTTGCACCTAGCAATGAACCAGAAGTTAGTTCTAAGATTGACCAAATTGCCAAGCAAATTGTTTCTTTAAATCTTGTGGAAGTCGCACAGCTGAGCGACTTGTTGAAAAAACGATTAAATTTACCGGATGCACCTGTAATGCCCATGGGTGGGTTTGTTGCTGCTGGTGCACAGTCTGAGGTACTTTATAACTATACTTGTCGAATAGGATTATATATTTACAAACACATGATATATCATTGTTCTATTTTAGGAAGAAGCACAACCACAAATAGTACAAACTTCATTTGCAGTCAAGTTAACAGGTTTCGATGAGAAAAAGAAAGTTAGCATAATAAAAGAAATAAAGAATATATTGCCAGACTGCAATCTTGTACAGGTAACATATTCATTTTATTTCTGAATATTTTACAAGACCTACTTTGGAACCTGAGTATCGAGGAAAGGATGGTTAATGTATCTCTTTTTTTCACTTTATTAATTTTTTGTAGGCCAAGAAATTTGTTGAAAGTGCACCAGCAGTAGTTCAAGGAGATATTTCAAAGGAGGAAGCAGAAAAGTTGAAAGAGGTGCTTACAAATGCAGGTGGTACTGTGGAAATTGTTTAATCACAAAAATTAGCTTATACAAATATTCATTTAAGAGATCACAGCTCTGGTAGTATTTTTTAATAACTTCTAAAATGGTTAAGACCAACATAAAAGGAAATGTCATATTTTGTATTATGATAGAACTGTCTTTTCCATTAGCATACACTTTACAAATCAGGAAGGAGTTATTAGACGCATTTTATACATCTCTATCTTTTTGTGAATTATCACATTACTTTCTGTATTATTCTAGCAACATTCAATCTACTGAAAAACGTATACAATTAAGTTAATTCATAGATATTTGTACATAAAATATCATGCTTGAAATTGTATTAAACCCAAAAACTAATAAAGTGAAATCCTTAATAAATCGTTATCTTTTATCATTCGTGTGTTATAATATATTTCTTAAGAACAAGCTTTAGTTTATTTATTTAGTTCATAATTAATAGTATTTCTATAAAAATTTATAAGAATCCATCGCAATGAATAAAGACTCCGATTAAACGCCTTCATTAATCTCGTTCTCTATGTAATTAACATTCACTAGTACTATCAATCTTTACTTCCGTTTCGATAAAAAGAACTGCTCTACATTTTCAGATGTTTACGCAAGTGAAAAGTGTACGTTTACTCGAATAAAATAAAGTTACTGTGTGTACAAGTGTTCAGATTACTAAGCGGCTAGATATCAACGAACTACATAAATTGTAGCGACTAATATTTCAAACTCGTACACTTTCCTACTGTTGCGAGTCACGTTTTAGTGCCGGCACGTTTTGCATAATAATTTCAGTAATTGTTTCGCTCCTCGTTTTCCTACGTTTAAAAGTACAGATGGCTCGATAAGCTTATTTATATGCTAAACAATACGTTTCAAGTTAATCGACAAATTCAACAACTGGCGCTGCGATAACAGTCGTATCGATAAAATAAGGGCCGTAACAATTTCGTTTATAATCTTCGTCCGTGATCCCGATTCTGCTCGTGAAGTAATTATATTTGAGAAAATAGCGGAAAGGAAATCGGCAACGAATGCGGAAATCGGCAGTTCAAAAGCGTTCGATTATAGAAAATCTACTTCGACCTCGAAGGAGGGGAAGGATATGAGAAATTTTTTTTTGCTCCACCGGACAAGCACTGATCCAGGGACGAAGTAGCGACAGCACTGCGCCACGACGACTACTGCCACGATGGCCGAGGAGACTGACACAAACGATAAAGCGACGATGGAAAGTATAGCGCAAAATATACTCGAGGTTCGTGTCAGCCGTGATCAGGACAGTGCTTGATAACGTAATAGTGCCTTTCGAAGTGTCGAGAGAGATAGTGATCCGAGTGACTCGTAATCCAAGTCACATTTTCTGTGATTTTGACAGATCAGTGCCGGAGGTGGGTCCGCGTCGAACGAAGTCGCTGCATTGGAGTTTCAAGCCTCGCAGGTGATATCGAGGCTCGAGGAGGCTGTTGAGAAAGCAGCAGACGGCGGCGGTACTACCTGGAACAATCCGTCGGGATTTCTTTCCCAGTCGAAATCATCGGACGAAATATTAACTTTGATTCAGGTAAATACAACGCTAGCAGAAGCCATTGCTTCACGCCTATTGGTTATTTCTGTTGGACCCCCTCCGCGATTGGCTTGTGCGCCCGTGATCCTCAGTGAACGGCCATCACGTGGTCGAATGATTGCCACGAATCGGTTGATTGCCGCGGAAGAACCATAAACTGGCGGCACTCTTTTAAATATTAGAAAAATTGTTATGATGTTAGATTGTATATCAATCTTGCTAATGATGCTTAATCGAATAATCATAGGTGTACATGTTTTATGGATAGAGAAAGATAACTACTGTTTGTAATTCATAGTTACTATGATATATTAACTACAGGTGTAATTGGTAATCAATTATTAAAATTAGGAAAGTTACTAAGAATATTGTATTATATGAATAACACTGGCAGATGTTACAACTCGATTAAATCTGAACTCAAATCATTAATGATTTACAGGACCTAGTGATTCATGAAGACGCTCCACAAGCAGCAGAGGACGGTTCAACCGAAACAGCAACGAGCCAAGTGACTGCCCTGCCAAAATTAACAGAATCAGCGAAATTAGCATTAATAACACATACCGTTTCCGCATATGCGCTCGCGCTTCCAAAATCGCATGCCCAGAAGTTAGCCGGTCGTTTGGCTGCTGACACGACAAGATGGCTAAGCCATATCTTTCGTTTCGTCGACTGTGCCTCCTCGTTTCACGAGGATCACCTGGAAGGTTTGGTCAGGGTAACCAGGTTAGCCCTGCACCGAAAGTATCCTCGATACATGGAGGAGGGTTTCACAGCCCTTGCAGCTTCACCGCCCTTAATTTACAGTTCTGTAGCCGCGCCTGTAGGCGTGGTTCAACATCTCTGCAGACAGGTATGAAACCCTTCGTACTCGACTAATGAAAGCTTAAGAGATTGGACATAAAGATAACTGTGACCATTCATGAATTATCAAAGTAATCTACTCCTGATGTTACACTAGCGTATTTACTGTAGATTGCCAAGTCCAAATCTTCCTTTCTGCTTCTTGTATAATTGTTATATATAATGTAACATGTGAGAACATGTGTCTTGTATTTTACAGCTTTCTTTGCCGCTTCAGTGTGTAAGACCCATCCCCCATAATACTATGTTTGGATCAAGATATAGTATGGACGTATCGGCCTTGGAGCGACGCTTAGCCGAGGACACGCAATCGAACAGCGTGACACCGCTTCTCGTACTAGCTGAGGCGGGGTCGGTATTAACAGGACATTGCGACAATATTGCTAGATTGCGTGCAATTTGCGACAAGTACAATGTTTGGCTCCATCTCAGAGGGCACTCTTTAGCTGCATTAGCCTTGAATAATTTGGCGAAGGACTTGGTACGTTATTGTTGTCCCTTTTGTTTTTTATGTAACGTTGACTACATGTACAATATGAATATATTTTTTACGCTTCAGCCCTCAAAAGTGGCGGACAGTATTACACTACCCCTAGGCATCTGGCTTGGAATACCGTCTTTGCCCGTAGTTGTATCCTTTTGAATGAATATAAAGGAAAGTTGACGGACATACTTCAAGCAAAGAACATTATCCTTAATTCAATTTATTCATAGACATTGTATAGATTAACGGATACTAAAGGTGGTCGACCAACTCCCAGGGACACGACTTTATCTTTGGTGTCGGGCTTAATGGCAGATTCCCTGTCAAGACGTTTGCCAACTTTACCCCTATGGGCTACGTTACAAGCGTTAGGTCGGGACGGTGTACATAACAGGTTGAAAAGATGCTTTCTGGCTGTGGAAGAATTGTATAATAAAATCAAGAAATTTACTTGCATAAGGATATTGGTAATTTCTGAAGAAGACGCTTGATACTTTTCGTTTGAGTGCTAACTGTAATTGTTCAATATTTATATATTTTTCTAGAGTCAACCACCGGGAGGTGAAACTGGCTCCTACACGATAAACGAGCTTCTAACGAACCCAGTGAACAATCCACAACTATTCGAGGCAGTAGCCAGTGCTCTAGTGTTCCAATTTGTGCCTGCGAACAGGGATCCCCAAGCAACGGAACGCGTCCCTCCGTATTACGACAAGTTAAATTCATGGCTGGGACAGATTCTTCAAAGAGACATCGAAAACGTACAAATAGAGTTATGTGAAATTGAACACCATGGAGTCGCGATTCGCATTTGCCCGTTAGAGAATCCGGAACAACCGCCATCAACCGAGGACACTGATAACGTGGTCGCTTGCCTGGAACAGCAGATAGTGAGTTTACGAGTCTGATCGTTGCCTGCGATTATCGGTGCATGCTAATTACGTTCCCTAAGCCAACTCTTATCGTACGTTCAACAGGAAATATTACTGGCAACAGTGGAGCACAAAGAAACATTCGTGAAGTTAGTTTCTGAAAATGATTCATTGCATTTAGTAGAGATGCCAGGTTGGGCGGGTTTAGGCGGCGTTCGCTACGCTCCTCCTACTTGGATTCATGTTATGACAGACCAAGCAAAGGAGGAATTAAATAGATTAAATACCCAACTGGTTGAAGCTTTGCGGAGTACAGATGCAGCATTTTCTTTAGGCGAAGGTGGCGACGGTTTAGCCTGTGTACGATTTGGAATGGTTACTCAAGACACAGGTGATCATTACCCTTGCGTTAGATTATTCGATACAAAATAATATAGCTACCCTCAAGTACACTTCTAGTCACAGAATCAATTGTACCCTATTTCATAATCGTAGCAAATCATTTTTCTTCAGACGTTGCCGAGCTACTGTCTTTAGTTCTACAAGTTGGCCAAGAGGTGGAGGCTAGTTCCAAGTTATTGGACACTATATCAGAAGTGGTGAAAAGAGGCATCGAGGCAGCTCAGACAGATTTAGAAAGGGAAAATGCAGAGAAATTATGGCAAGAAGGTATTTTGAGGCATGTACCTGTAGTCGGAACTTTTGTCAATTGGTGGAGCCCCCCGTCGAAAGAGACTGGAGTGCGTGGACGTAGTCTAAATCTCCAAGCTGGTGACTATCCTAATTTTCGTACAAGATAGCTATCGTATTTTGAACGAGGTTACATGGAAATGCTTTTGTATAGGGGTGGTGGAGAGTACAGAGAATATATACAAATATCACATGCAACTGCAACCTAATACAACGGTGATCAATGGATCTGGTGCTAGAACTCCTCCACAGCCTTTAGTACAGACACCAGTTGGCGCTGGGAGTCAAAGTCATAGTCGCTCGTCGAGCCATTCTAGCTTGCAAAGCGGCAAGAGTATCTCTGTAATAACGAATGCTGTCTCCCACCCGCAGGTCAAAGAGGAATCAGGTGAGGTGAAATCGTAGTAAACATGAGGCAACATTGTTGATCAACAGAAATTCAGAGCCAAGTTCTGTACGGACTTGGCGACAGAAGAATACTGTACGTGAAATGGTCGCACATTTCCCTGCAGAAGCTACAGTTTACACTCGCAGAGTAAAGCATTAGTCCCTAAAGCATGCGTCGAAGAGCTTGGTAACTCGATCGAGGTAAACACGCCATTACTTTGTCATTCTATTCTGAATAAAGTATTTTACGTTATTTCTTCATCACGTTCCATCAACCGCATTCTTCTCTCTTTACCTATTTTAATTCAAGGCTCTAGTTTTGGACGCTCTGGTATGAACTATCGAATGTGGCTTGTGTACTTACTAGACTGATATAAGAAGTAACAACTTTTTTCAATGAACTCGACAAAGTAGTATTTCAAATGCTACTAACGATTCAAATATTTCTTGCAGCACAATAAGCAAAGATATATTATTATGTAACTGGACTGTAGATGTTTAAGAGGTACATACATTTTTATAAATTTGCAAGGATATACTCTCTGGTATCAATCTTTTTCTATGAAACGAAACTTGAATGTTTCTGCTCTTCTCTTTTTATAATGCAAGATTGAATATAAAAACGAGAATTTTGTTTCCCACACAAGAATTTAATGAAATAAATGACGAAATATAATGAATATATAAACATCTACAGTCTACTCATAAGCCAATCTCTTGACACAATCTCAAAAGTCATTGACTCTGACCTTAGTCAATTCAGTGCATAACAATCTACTAATAGAAATAAAAGATTAAAATAAATATAACGAAGTGATTAAGTTTCTAGCAATAGAATGTTTACGTTCCGTTAAATGCACACGTATTCTCGGGTGAATCTCGCAGCAAAATTTCTCTGCATTTATTTCTCAGCAATGCCGCGTCGTTCCAAACGACGCTGTTACGCAGCGACACGAATTTTATTCTCTTCTAAAGCACAATATATGAGTGGTTGCGACGAGACACACACAAAATTGTGATCGCGTCGAGCATATTTCTAGAAGCGTTCAATTGATTCTAAACAGCATTTCTCTGAGAAAAATTCCATTGATAAATGTCGAATGAACAACAACAGTGTTCGGAAGTTGAAGTAACAACTAACCAAAGAGACACTTTGCAAAGATCACTGCAGATCATTTAGGTCATCAACTTGGAGTCCCATTGTTAGATCTACATTCGAACGGCAAAAATTGTTGCTATTTAATAAATATGTAACGTACATGGAACTCTACTTCCATCAAATTTAAACGACACTGATACAATGTTCGCATTACTATAGTAATCAATAAATTGTTGACAAATACAATTAAGTGAAAAAAGAAATTAAGCTGTATGTATATTTATGTACCAAATTGTTGTAATAAAGTATTACAATCGAATAAAATGATTCATGTGTAAGCTGGTAGTTTATTTTTCGTTGATACATCTTTAATTCTTTGTATGAAAATTAAAATGACAAATGACGAATGTACTTCTCATAGCTCTAAAGAACATGTTCTCGAGCACTTCTCATGATTCGATTTTATAAATTCCTTTTATTTTATAGCGTCCCAACAATGAACCTACGAGATTCGAACTCTTCAAATCAAACACTTTTGATTTCCTCTTTTTATTTTTATATCCAGGATACATACCTTAAGTGTTCAGGTAGATTGAGTTATCGCTCAACCACTCGGAAGATACTTTGAGCTAATCGGTTAACAGTTTGGATGTTAAAATGTACAAGTACGATAATTCTTCTTTATTAGGAGTAGCATTGAATATCTTTTTCAATCCTGAAAGATATCTAAAAGAAAACTGATTCTCGGGTAAGAAGAGCGTCGAATGAATGAAATCAATTTCTTTACACTCCTCTCTGTCTTTAATTTTACCGCTGATAATTAGCAATAGAGTCGCAGTACAATTATCGGAGAAAAATCGTGAATTTCTTCCTCTACGTTGGAAAACAAGAGCTATCGAAAGGAAGAACAGAAAAACCAAAAAAGAAAAGAAAAGAAGGGAAATTGAGCCGCGTCGAAAAAGAAATTTGGCAAGAGATCTTCTCCCCTCGTAATTA